GCCCGGCACGTTGTTCTTGTTGTTGGTTGGCATCAGGTCCATTGTGACTCATGGCGATTCCATGTGTGCAGAGTAAACTGTGCTCCACAGGGTTTTCAAGGTTGTCGCTTTCATAAGCAGATCACCAGGCTGCCTTCTGAGACACCTCTCACTGGGTTCAAACTGACAACCTTTCGGCTAGGAGTTGAGTGCTTAACCCTTTGTGCCACCCAAAGACTTCAGCATGGTATCATCATCACTGTTACTAATGAAGCCCTTGATAACTCACTATCATCTGTGGTGAGGCGATTCAAGCCCCTCAACTTGACATACAAAACCCTACACCTCTTCACTCTCCTTTCCTCCAGGTCTCTTCCTCCTGAAGGTCTTCCGTGATACTCTCAGCCAGGAGTAAGTAGCCCTCTTCTGGGCTCTCAGTGTGCTCCATGTGTATCTTTTACAGAGCATTTGCCAGATCTGTGTCTCTGTCTCCCCAATAGACTTAACCAAAGTTAACGCTTTCTTTCTCTTCTGAACATCAACACATTTAATAAGAGAAACATAAATATGAGCCTGTTTTACAGGGGATCAGGTGCTCTGGTGGCATGATAGCTAAAGCATTCAGCTGCTAACAAAAAGGTCTGTGGTTCGAACCCACAAGCTGCCCTGTGGGAGAAAGATGTGGCAATCTGCTTCCAAAAAGGTTTACAGCCTTGTAAACCCTATGGGGGCAGTTCTACTCTTGTCTTTTAGGGTCGCTTTCCGAACTCTGGTGTTGTAGTGCCTAAGGCACTTGACTGCTAACCAGAAGGCTGGCGGTTCGAACCCACCAGCCACTCCTCAAACCCACCAGCCACTCCTCGGAAGGAAGGTTGGGCAATCTACTTCCATAGTCATAGTGACACCACCTCAGAAACCCAAGGAGGGGACGCTGTGAGTCGGGTCTGACTTGATGCCACATAACAACAACAACAACAACATGAGTCAGGATCAACTTTATGACAGTGGGTTTGGTTTGGTTTTTGGTTTACAGAGGATCAATTTTATTTAATTAAAGCTGTCACAGCCATTGATCTTTTACGCAATCCACACAAAGCAGGTATATGGTGATGGTGATGAGACATTAGGAATTGCAGTGAATCTATTTATGTTATACTCAGGTTTTAACACCATTCTTGGCTCCCAATTACCATTGAATAAAATCCAAACTTCTCAGTGTAGTATTCATGGCCCTTCACAACCTAATTCAAATCATGTCTATTATAATGTGTGTCACCTTGAATTATGTAGCTCAATTAGCTGATTATGTGTCTGTTTTCCCAGCATGACTAGGAGCTCCTGGAGCACAGGAAGCAGCTCTTACTCATTTCCTATGCCAGACCCCACCCACTACCCCACCTCCTAACCCATCCATCACTCAACATATAGGAGGGTTCTAATTGTCTTGAATGAAATTATTCCCATTGCATTTCTTTGTCAAGTGGATTTTTTGATAGATTATCATCAATAGGTCTCTCATTGTGAAATTTGTTATGATGAAGAAAAGACGAATGAAGGAAAAAGGCATGAAAAACAAAATGCACTGGACAACTAATGAGATGATTTTGTTGTGGCTATTGCAATAGGGGGAAAGTTCATTAACGTTGTTGTTGTTGTTATGTGCCGTCGAGTTGGACCCAACTCATAATGACCCCTCCTTGGGTTTCCAAGGCAGTATCACTATGGAAGTAGATTGCCCAACCTTCCTTCTGAGGAGTGGCTGATAGGTTTGAACCACCAGCCTTCTGGTTAGCAGTCAAGTGCCTTAGGCACTATGCTACCAGAGCTCCATTAATGAGGAATGTCTTAAAGGTAAGGAAAGGGGTCTGGGTTTTTATGATGTTTTATTAGCTGCTGTGGAATTGGCCTTGACTCATAGTGACCCTATGCACAACAGAACAAAACACTGTCTAGTTGTGTGCCATCCTGATTAGTGGCAGATTGGACCATTGTGATCCCTTGACTGGTTTTCAGAAGTAAACCACCAGGCCTTTCTTCTTGGTCTGTCTTAGTCTGGATGCTCCACTGAACCCTGTTCAGCATGATAGCAACATGCAAGTCTCCACTGACAGATGGGTGGTGGCTTTGCATGAGGTGAATTGGCCAGGAATCGAACCCACATGGAAGAGGCAGGTAAACAAGGGAGTCATTATAAGGAAGGATGGAGACTTATCTGAATCATTGAGGAAGGGTGGAAGTGGAGTCTTAGAATGTTTAAGAGCACTGGTTTATGGAGGGTTAGTTGTCTCTAAGAACACAAAAGGGTTGAGGGGGACAAACAAAAGAGTGATTTCTTGACTGAATCTGTTTTCCAGGAGCACAGGGCTCCTAAAGTGCAACATTGCCAGGGAAAAGAGATAGGGGGAAAGCAAAAAAGAAGTCATGCCTCCCCTCTGATGCTGTTCTGTGCACATACCCAGACACCTTCTGGAAGCTAGGCTAGGTCTTGACCACCATTCTTTCAGCTGCCTAATATTCTCCCCCTTTTCTTCACTGAAAGGAGCTCTGGTGACATAGTACCTAAGGCATTTGACTGCTAACCAGAAGGTTGGTGTTTCAAACCCACCAGCCACTCCGCAGAAGGAAGACTGGGCAATCTACTTCTGTAAAAATTTACCACCTCTGAAACACAAAGGGGGTCACTATGAGTCAGAATCAACTCAATGGCAGTGAGTGAGTGAGTGTTTCTTCATAGAATCATCTTCCATAATCTGAACTAGAACATCAGGACATCTAGGGTTGCACAACTGCAGGGGACCATTCATCTACTATGTGAGTTGTGCATTCCAGCAGTTCTGTTTTTCCTCTACTTTACTGTCTTCAAAGCCAAACAGGTGCCTCTACCGTTATCTTCATCTTTTCCCCTCCCTCTGGCCCTTCACTTCTAAACCCTGCCATTCCATTCAGATCCACCCTACTCTCACCTCTAGGCCCAACCAAACCAAACCAAACGCAGTGCCATTGAGTCCCATTGAGTCAGAGCCAACTCATAGCGACCCCTCCTTGGGTTTCTGAGGCAGTTATCACTATGGAAGGAGATTGCCCAATCTTCCTTCTGAGGAGTGGGTTTCTGAGGTGGTATCACTACGGAAGTAGATTTCCCAGTCTTCTTTCCAAGGAGTGGCTAGTGGGTTTGAACCACCAGCCTTCTGGTTCATAGTCAAATGCCTTAGGCACTACACCACCAGAGCTTCCTGTAGGGCCCAAAGCAGTGTCTATTAGCCATCCCTCCCTCTTCAAGGATCCCTTTTCAGCCCCAAAGTCATAGTACACCCTGCCCCAACCCTCTGCACCTCCCACTCACCAAGGCAACCCTGGAGCATGCAAGAGCACAGTAGCTCTAACACTAACAAATACTTTCCAGCAGTGACATGTGAATCTTGGCCCCTGTAACAGGAAACGAGACCCTGGATTTAAACAGGTTCAATAGAGACACTTTTATTAAGCCTTGGATAGGACAAAGACAATCATCCAGGATGAGGGGAACCATCAGTATGTACACAGTACAGAAAGCTAAATGGACTCCGCTGAGTCATGGCCATGTGGCTTATGATATACGATTTTTTTTTTTTTTTTTAAAGGAGCTCTGGTAGCATAGTGCCTAAG